CGGGAACTCGTCTGTCGCAGTTCCCACTTGCACCTGTTCGTTGGCGAACGCACTGTGGTACCAGGGGGCGATCACCGCAGACAGCTGCGCGAACTGCTGGATGTGGTCTGGACCTTCCACGCGAGCACGCTGGTTCCGACAGGCCTGGATCGTGCTGATCAGAGCGGGGCCCGAGATGTGGCTGACTGTGAGCCACGTGCCAGGCACCGAAGTCCTCCCGCACTTGAGATCGATCCGGTTATTGGCGTCCCGGAACCGAAACTCAACACGATCGGCGTCGTTCCCATAGCCTTCTCGGGACGAGCGTTCTGTCACCCTGAGCTCACAAGTGCTCATGGCATGGTCGCTCGCCATCACTGCTCCTCTCGGGCCGATCGTGTAGACTCGGGCTCCAACCTCGAACGAGGTCACGGAGACCTTCCATCCAACGAAGACCGAGATGACGATCGAGGGTCGGAACCATCCTTCGTTGGCTGACCGGATCAACACCTCGTCACAGAACTGCTGCTGGACAGAAAGATCCGAGTCCGAGCGGTAGCCCCTGAAGACCCAATGGAACAGGACCTCGTTTCCATTGAAGACCTTCACATCCACATAGGTGGCCGAGGTATCGAACATCACCGGCCAAGTGAAGGGCTGGAAAGCCGGGTGCGATAGCGCCCGACTCGCGTAGGAGTCCCACTGAGCACATGGTCCCCCTGTTCTCGAAGACATCGAAAAGAGCAGAACGGCCTTGATGCCATCGAGCGTATAGTTCGCGAACAGCGAACAGTGGTAGCCCGAGTTCGGGGGCATGACCGAGTCCCGCTCCGTCAGCACATTGATCGAGCTGGCGGCATTCGAGATGATCTCCTCGGCCAGCCAGTTCTGGAACGGGGAGATCACCCGGTCATCGCGGTTGTCGATGACGAGGAGCGAGTTCTGGGTCTCGTCCTCTTCCTCGACCACGAGCTGGCGAACGAACTCAGGCCGCTGAAGGGGTTGTGAGCAGCAGGAGCCCCACGGTCACGACGTCCACGACGATCGTCGCGACCCCAGCCTCCAGAGCCCCAATCGCCGGATGCGGCAGCTGGAGCCGCGGGATTCTCGGGAGCCTCTGCCTCGCCTGGAACGTAGTGTCCCCAGTTACCCGGATTCTCAGGCTGACCAAGCCGGCGAGGCAACCCGAACTGTGGGGCCATCGGAGCCGCCATCTGCCGACCTTGATGGAAGCCAGCCGGAGGGAACGACATGGCTGCAATCGAGCGAGCCTATTCACTTCCACCTCCCACGCCGAATTTTTCGGTATGGCCCGATCGGCTATCGCCAAAATGGCCAGATCAAGTCTGTTCCAACGATCGCGAAACTGATCTCCTAATTCCTACCCACCAGACCGATAATTAGGAGACATATATGTATATATATATATGTATATATACATATACATGTATGCAAATACTTATGTACATACATATGTAATATGCACATAGATGCTTCGTTTGTCTCATCACACCATGTGAAATGGTATTGGAGGGTGGTGCAACATAAATCGCAAATCAGCAGAAAACATAATATACAAATAACACGGAATTACGTTCTAGCATGATCAAAAATGGCCATATACGGGTACTTGGGAATGAAATTTTCAGGTCCCCTACTATACTTATAGTGCAATCACCCCAAACCCTATTTCTAAGTATGGCTCCTATATTACCTATCCCCGGTCCCCTGACCTGCGCAGCGGCACCGGAGTCGGGGTTCTCCATAAGATCGCGGACGTGTTCTTTGCACTGGGCGGCTGTAGGATTTGGGGCATGGGTCTAACGGTTTAGGGTTTGAGCTCAGGTCGTGGGGTTGGGGGGTTAGGAGCTACACTGCTGGGGGATTGCGATCCTCCCTGACTTTCTAACCGCAACGTAATTAGCTTGTAGACCCTTTGCTTCAAGCCTGCCAGCCTCACATGCATGTAGTGAAACCTTCGTCCCACTTCAGAATTGACTCTGCTTTGTCCCGTAGTTTGGAGCCTGGGGCTCGCGAGCATTTTCCCATCACTGTTACAAGGAGACTCAAAACAGGACTCTGAAGGCCTGTATGGGGTTCCCTGACGTGTTACCTATTGGCCCGATCTACATGCACTCAGGGTCAGTGCACGCTTGTATTTCTCTATGTGCGTACGTGCAAGCACAGATTCCGCGGGCGAAAAACAGACGTGGGCCGTGGGGACACGAGGATGTAGAGTTGCATTAAATTCATGGATGCACACGTCCACGTGTGTACGTAGGTATATATGGTATATCCGTGAGGTCGGAGAAAAGGATCGACCTTTCCCGTACTACCGGCGCACCAAGACATCCACAAGCTTACGAAGTCAGAAGGCTGGACTGAGGCAAGGGAAAAAAACGAGGTGCACACCGTCCCTGGAACCACCTCCTGCAGAAACAGCACAACTCTCGACGCTGTGGTTTAGGAAGCCATCCCGGAAATGGTGGTGTTTTGGCGGGAAGGCAGCTGCATTGGTGTACTATGGTGTATTACCTGCACGGAGCTGCCCCTCGCGTGGCCCTCGGCCCATTGGGGATGATGAAAGCGCTCACCCGAAGTGAAGCATTTCCGTCTCGGCTAAGTTGCATAGTGCGACTACTGTCTGAGCTGTTGGGCATACCGTCGATGTAGCGAGAAGTTAGATCCAGACCAAAAGCTGCCCGGCTGCTGGGCCAAAGTGGCAAGGCGCTAGGCTTCTGGACTGTGCCCGATATTCCGTCCTGCTCCGGGGCCGTGTAGGCTGAATCCTGTGGCGGGGTTTTGCAGATGAGAGCTTCCTCCGTTGTGCTACATCTGACGATTTTGGATAAGACGGCAATACTTCAATCGAATGCATGCACTGACCAAACCATCAAAGTGGCACGACTTAATCAACGCAGTATTGTAATCTTGTTTCGCGCTGCGGCTCCAGTCTACGAGACACGATTCGATCAAGCACTTACATTGTGTCGGTTTCGTGTGATAGGCACCTCTATCCAACGTCATGTAAGCTATCCTGGTTCGACTTATTTTTTACGCTCACTGCAGCATGGAGGAAAGTGTCCGCGAATCAATAGAGCTCGGAAACCGACTAAGCATGCAGACAGAAACCAAATCTTTACCCGTGTATGACAGGTTCGTACTTCTGGGAGTTCACCACCTGCGAGTCAGTGCTTAGCAGTTGAAGCTGGATTCCGGTCATCCGGCCACCTACGACACTGTGAGCTCGGATACATTGCCCTGATGTCACTTCGCAAAACTGGAAGTCCTCAGTTGTGTACTGCTGGCGGGAGCGGCGAGGCTCTCCCGGCACTTGCTGGTACCTTCAGCATTCAGTCACGGTGGTTCCCTCGTGAAGTGTAGAGTCCCCACATGGTTCCGGTTACTGTAAAGGTTTAGGTTGGGGACTTTGGGGTGAGGCCAACTCCTCACTGCGGCAGAGTGGGTATGAACAAGTCCTAGTGTTGATTCATGTTGATTCCATGTCGCGGTGTAGATCAGGTGATCTAGACAGACAACATCGCTGAATATGCAGGCTGCTACAGCACTTTCTGTTCGAAGCTTCTACTTCTCAACTTTCTGATGCAAGCGTGGAGCGCAAGGTGGGTCTGAATGACAAGGCAGGATACGATGCTTGCTGCGCGGACATCTTGCCGCAGTGGCAGTGACGGAGTGGCTTTCTTGGTGGCACTGCCCGATATCATGGAAGGTCACACTGTTCTGCACAACAGCATAGTTTCCGTAAGCCGAATGGTTTTGTTGTACGGGATCCCTCATGCTTACGTGCAGCACTGTCTCCGAGCTGCTGTCCATTGAGAGTTGTTACTAGCCTAGCTCCCGAGACTGTGTTTCAAAGCAGTCGGACTTGGCTTCAGCTGGATTGGGGAAGCTGAAGATTTAATCAATGCCTTTGGATGTATGGCGCATCGTCGACTTGAGCCGACTGTGAGCGGGATTTGACTTGCCTTGCTGTCGTCCGAACATGTCAGAGTTGATGGATGACTAATCACAAGCACGGATGAGAGGAGGATCGTGCCGTTCAGCGCCGTAGATCCCTTCGGCAACCTATCAGTTGACATGCTACTGCTAGTTCCCGCGCCACTGCTACTGCTGCTGCTAATGCTACTACTACTGCTGCTGCTGCTACTACTACTACTACTGCTGCTACTCCTGCTACTCCTGCTCCTGCTCCTGCTACTGCTGCTGCTGCTGCTACTACTACTACTGCTACTACTGCTACTGCTACTGCTACTACTACTGCTACTACTACTACTACTACTACTACTACTACTACTACTGCTACTTCTCCTACTCCGACTCCTACTCCCACTCCTACTCCTACCCCTACCCCTGCGCCTACTCCCACTCCTAATCCTGCTGCAGCTTCTGCCGCTGCTGCTGCTACCGCTACCACTGCGACTGCGACTACGACCGTATGTGTTTCTGTGTGTGTGTGAGTGTGTGTGTGTGCGTATGTATAATACATACTGTACATACATACACACACACACACACACATGCATACATACGTGTCTGTAAGGGTATATAATATATGCACAGGATGAAAGCATCGGCTGATACTCTGAGAGCAGGCGCCACATCTTTTTCAGTCCAGTCAGATCCGATAGCCAGCTTCGGCCTGTCAGGACGAAGGACTTCACACCAACGGCCGCTGCGATTGTGTAGATTCCAGAAATCCGATCCTGCTGGAAAGCTGCCGGGCGGCTAGAACCTGCTCGACCTGTTTCTTCGCGGCGCCCTCGAGAAACCGCGCGCACTGTGCAATGAAGGCCTCGGGGTCTCTGCCGTCGATCATGCCACGACGACTACAGAGGCCGAAGCAACTGCACCGAGTTCAATGGAGTGTATACTGCAGATCGTTTTAAACTCGGGCAAACAAGTCATAATGTTGGCAAAAATCTGCCAGTTGTGCACTGCTGTGCTAGGAATCTGTTGCCAACAGATTGAAAAGCCCTGAGACGTCAGAGTGCTACACTCAATCAGTCCTCGGCTGTCGCATGGTGCATCCTGATTCCGATTAATCCGGAGATCGTTCCAGAATTTCGAAGCCTACCGTAAGCCAACTCCTGCAAGCCAAGTGGGCAGTGCAAGAAGCCTGGCTTTGAACGCTGCCACGACTCAAGAAGACAAGGCACTCCTGAGCTCGGCGATTCCCCCAATGCCTGGAAGTGGGCGCGGGCACGGCTGTTGTGTGTGGCATCCCAGCCTCTTGTCTCCATTGCCTGAATACAGTAAATGGCACACCTACCAAAACGTTAGGTTCATAGAACCGACATGAACAGGTTGGAAACTGCGACTTGTTCTTCGATGATTCTCGCTGTAGAAGTTTTGCTGTAGCTTTCCAACCATGACAAAGAACACCCAGAATATGCCTTCAGGGCAATCTCGGGAGAAGCAAGCTTGACATCTAAAGGACTAGCCAGGTTTTTAAGAGTGTAGAAATGCAGGGTGAGACTATTCTGTCAAAAGACCAAAGCCGCACCCAATAACTTTAACCCTTGACCCTTAAACATAAAGACCTCGTACACCTCCACTCTAAAAAAAAATGTGCACTTCTACCCTAAAGCCTGGAGCGAAGCCGATGCCCTGAGCTCACAGGAAGCCTGGCGGAGGCTCAGCAATTCTGGGCCCGGCAAGGGGGCGCCCAGGTCCTTCCCGAAAAATCTCCAAAGGGAAGTCTATCGGCTGGCGATAATCAAGTATAGCACCAGCAGCATACACTACAGCACGGCAAAGCATCAAAAAGTGTAGTGTAGAGGAATAGAGGAGCAGAGTGCAGTAGAGTCATCTCTCCTCGAATCTCACGCCACGGGCTTCGGGTAGAGCCGGCGCCACCACAAATAGTCCACCACATGTATATGCAGACTTGGATTTGCAGATTACGGCACATGATGCTGCTAACAGTACTGAAGTGGATGGCCGTCATGATACTATTAGCAGTCCTTTGGTCCGCGAATGTGGTACAAGCCCACTCCACGGCAAACGTTCACGGCCATCAGCTGTGGATCGGCCGCCATTCTCTTGTGGTAGCCTCACAGCGTTCTGCTTCAGACATGACACGGTAGTGTACCAGGCGTGTTGAAGACTGTCCACGTCAAGTCCTGCTTATCACATGCCTGTGGGCCTGCGGCAAGCTCTACCCTGACCCCAATCATGTGCCGGACCCAATCCTCAATAACTGCCTGCAGGTCTGTATATATGAGCCCGGGAACTGCAAAACAAGCAGGCCATACAATCAGACCCAAGGGAGGTCTGCAAGGTGGCCCGGAGGTTACGAAACATACATGTATGTAGGGAAAAAAGGGTCTATGCGAGTATGCACGCACACATCTGCCTATCTTCTTCGACAATATCAATATGTACATATACATATATATATATATACATAATACATATCATGTGCCTATACATGTACATATACATACACATGCATGCATGCATACATGCTGCGACATATGTCATAGGTAGATGAGGTAGATAGGTCTGCATGGGGGTAAGACCACAGATCTAAAGCATGCACACGCCAAGATACAAATGATGACTGGCAATCTCATACACATCCATGCCTGCAACTCATGTATATGCATGCGTGATACTGACGTCTAGTATACACAAAATCTAAAGTCTAGTAATGGCACGCATAAAAACAAGGACAAGACTCCGCATAAACAGTATTAGTACTGATCTCAATAACAAGAATAACGACAACCGTAATGATCAAAACAGCAGCAACAGCGACGACGACAACAGCATTGATACAAATCGTAACAGTGTTCAGAATGACATTAAGCATACTAACAGTCATACTTCCCAAATTCGTAACAATTAGTAAGAAAAGTAATAAAAAACACAGCGACAACAGTATTTGCAACACTAGCAACAGTTTACACGCAAACGTATGCATGTACGTGTATGTCTCTGTGTATGTATGTATGTATGTAGGTATGTATGTATGCAGGTCAGGATGTATGTATGTATGTATGTCTGTATGTATGTATGTATGTGATGTGTGTGTCTATGTGTGAACATATATACATATATATGGATAAATACAAACATACATAGGCACATAAATACGCATGTTGGTACATGTTGCAGACCTGGGCCTAGGGTGTGTGTGTGTGTGTGTGTGTGTGTGTGTGTGTGTGTGTGTGTGTGTGTGTGTGTGTGTGTGTGTGTGTGTGTGTGTGTGTGTGTGTGTGTGTGTGTGTGTGTGTGTGTGTGGTTGTGTGTGTGTGTGTGTGTGTGGGTGGTTGTGTGTGTGTGTGGTGTGTGTGTGTGTGTCTGTGTGTGTGTGGGTGCGGGTGTGTGCGTGTGTGCGTGTTGTGTGTGCGTGTGCGTGTGCGTGTGTGCGTGTGTGCGTGTGGTGTGTGGGCGTGTGCTGTGTGGCGTGTGTTGTGTGCGTGTGTGCGCGTGTGTGGTGCGTGTGTGTGCGTGTGTGCGTGTGTGGTGTGTGTGTGTGTGTGTGTGTGTGTGTGT